ATTTAAAACATTAGATTATATAAACTGTAAAATATTAATAATAATTGGGTTAATATTATTATTAATAGTTTTAATGATTTCTACATTTGTCAGTCCTTTTTTTCTGCTCTGTTGCCAACATGTACAGCAATGGGAAATCCAGAGTCTTGCCTGTTTAGCGTTAGCCGTTAGCTTCTATAGCAGATCACACGGTCACGTGGTTTCTGTGCACTCCAGTTCTACAGAACCTCCTTGAGGATGAACTGAGTTTAAGTTTAGCATCTGYAAAACTGACAGCAAACACAAAAACAGCTTTAACCCAGTAATTAATTCAGTTTGACAGACGTAATACAAACAAAAACAGATCAGGACTCTAGTTGGGGTATTATTATGTGTATTTATTATTAAGCAATCTCTTTAACCAGTCATGTTTTAGGTACTGATCAGGCCTCATGTGAGAGGAACGCAGCTCTTAAAAACAAAAACAAAAAAAGAAAAACAATCCCTATTGAGATTAATTTAAATTTTAAAACAAAAAAACACCATAGCCTTATATACAAGTGGGAGGGATGGGTGTGTGTGCAAGAGGTGCTGGGAGCGGGGTCTCGGGGTGTGTATGATGATGGGTTGGTGCAACGAGGGGGGGTGGGGGGGATTTCCGTAGAGGGCAGGGCAGGGGTTCTGGCTTTAGTACATGTAGCCTTTAGAGTAGGGCTGAGGGCCCATGTTCTGGGAGGGTTCAGGGTTGTAGGGCACCCCCTCGTCCAGATGTGAAAGGGGCACCGTGTCCTCCTCGTTGACRTAGCGCTCGAACTCGGCCTTTAGGCTGGGCCGCTGATTGTCGGGGAAGGCCAGGGAGATGAGCGCCTCGGGCTCGCACACAAACTTGTAAACATAGCGCTCCCCGGCCACCTGCGAAGACAGGAAACTCATGAAGAACGGCGTCCCGAGAAACAAAACATCCGATTCTTTTGATCTCGTTCCTGAAAGCCTGGTTGTTGGGCGTTCTGTACCTTTTGCATGATTCCCTTCTCGTAGTAATAGCGCAGAGAGCGGCTGAGCTTGTCGTAGTTCATGGCGGGACGGTTCTTCTGCATGCCCCACAGTCTGGCAACCTGAGGGAAATCAAATACAGCGTGTCAGGATTTTTACCATCTTAAATCCAACCGTGTACTGCTCATCTGTAGTCGGGTCGAGGACTGCCTGCAGCTAGGGCAAAGGCAGAAAACAAGGCTTTTCCTAGAAGTCTGTGTGTCTGTACTGTTAGCAAAATATCTCAAGTAACACTGGATGAAAGTCAAAGTGCACTATTCAACATGGCTGCCACAGCTRATTAACCTTAAACACAATGATGCCTTGACTTTTCAGAATTATGTTTTGTATAGTGGAATTAATTTATATTTTCAGATCTTCCAAGGTGCCAATTATGGAACTCTCTGTGCATTGHTGCCCAAATCAAATTCTGGAAGTGGTCATTCAACTAGATCTGTTACAAAA